GGCGCCTGTATCTGAGAAGGAGGAACGGACTGAGGGGGCGCCTGCTGCTGGGAGGAAGCTGTGGCTGCACCCTCATGAGAGTCTTCTTTGTGCTGCTTCTGTGACTGCTTCTCTGCTTCAGAATCCTCTGAATCCTCCTCCTCATCATCCTCTGAAAATTCTTCCACTTCCCGACCCTCCTCAGGGATTTCCTGACCTGCCATTCGCAGCATCATGGCTTGAAGAGGCGTCAGTTCCTTCATGTTCTTCTTTTTCTTTCTTGATTTCCCAGGCATGTCTGCAAACCGCACACTCAGACCTGCCTTCTTTTCCTCGGTGTTGTCTCGCTCATTATCGTCTCGGTGCATAAACTCGTCCACGTCACTTTCTCCATCTGACCTGTCTGTGTCACTGTCATCAGTGCTGTCATCGTGCTTGTCCTGATCCATGTCCTCAGGGTAGCCGTCATCTTCACTGGTGCTGGAAACATCGTCATCATGACCACTCTGCGCAAGGTCAGGGCTATATAACATGTCTTCATCTCGCCTACGAGGAGGAAGATCAAGAGCAAAGCCCACTTTACGGCCATACATCTGCAAGACTTGGGGAGGAGGGGGACCAGGTGGAGGACCTGGAGGTTTCCTGCCAGGGGGCAAACGTGGAACACCATGCCCAAGAAGAGGAAGGATGGAAACTGCTCGAGTTGGAGGTCCATAGGCTGAGGTCTTCTTTAGGATGGAGGGGGGCTGGGCACCAGGAAGTGGGATGTCCTGGATCAAGATGTTGGAAGGAGCATGTGGCATATCTGGCAAAGGAATACTCTCTACTTCTACATGCTGAGCATTCTTGACAGCATCAAAGTACTGGCTAAGTTGAGCCCTTTTCTGTTCATATTCTACTTCTAGCTTTCTCAATTCTTTATAAATATCCGGATTCTCTTTTTCATAAAGTCGTAGGATACATTCAAAGGTTTCTCGAAGCTTTTTACGTTTATCTTTCAGTACTTTCTCATTTAACTGTGGTTGTTGTACTGGGTTAAACTCCATTTCATCCAATTTCTCCATGTCCCGGATGATCTGTTTGGGATCTTTCATCTTCAAAACTGCAGCTCGAACCATCATGCGCTGTTTTTTGTTCTTCAATTCTCTCTTCCGAGCTTCCTTTCGAGCTTGGTCCGTAGGGTTCATAAATTTTCCACTCTTGGTGGATGATGTTGATCTCCGCCCCATATTGACAATCTATAATGGTTCACTTATTCTTTAAAAAAAAACCCTAAAACACTCCTGCTGGGATCCCAGAACTGCTAGGGGCGTGGAGGGGACGAGTCCCAGCCTCCTAACGGCCGCTGGGGCCTTCACCTCTGCTTCTCGGTCAAGCACCCAGTCTCCGCCATCTTGAAACCTCGCGCCCCTCCGCCATCCTTACGTCATTTCCTATCCAACTTTTTATTTAAAACATTTCTTCTGGTTCTACAAGTTTAAAAGAATAGTGGAAATTTCAGAACCATGCTGCGCTATTGATTCTCTAACTTGAGTTTTGAAAGAGAAACACAGTCTAAAAGTAACTGCTTTTCAAGTAACTCAATGTCTAGTGGAAATTACATTTTTATATCATTTTCCCTGCCATTGAAAATAGTTTCAGAGGAAGAACATCTGTAAAAATACAGTTTTCAGATCTAGAACTGATGAAAATTAGCGTTTTGGATGGAAAATTGAAAATTCCATCCCACAGAAAAGTTAATGCTAAAAGTATTTCCCAGGAAAAATTATACATTTCAGTGAACATTGATTAGCCTATATGATTTGCGGAATGAAATGTGTTGATCAGATATTGAAAGGGATGAGGCACAAATAAAAAGAGTATTATATTTCTCCATTCAGGAAAGAATCTTAAAGGCATAAATTTAACCCCAGTTAAGTCTAGGTTTGTCTCCACACTTTCCCTTGTGAAAAAACTTATGCTCTATTTTCTCAGTTGTCTTGCTTACAAAACTGAAACTAAATAAAATAACTCAAAGAGTAAAGTCAAATGATACATACAAATATATTAGTGCATAATGAATTTTCAAATTCCACCGGTGTCATTATTAAAATATGTTTGAGATTGCAACTGAAGAATAATTAGAAACAGAGAAAGTATTGCCAATGTTTAGAAGGTTTTACTCTGTTTAGAAACCATGTAGTCAAATAAGTGTTGAGATCCATGCAAAATATGTTGAATGATTATTCCAGAGTGTATAGTCAAAGCACATACACAGAGAAGTGGAAAGAGTAACCACTTTTTTAAATTTTTAAAATATTCTTAATGTGTAAATCATCTTTATATCTTAAAATGAAACCAATATGCCTATTAAGAATACATCGAGGTCATGTGCTTTCTTCCAATTGAAGAAAATGGACATGAGAAATTCATTGAAATCTGATCAAGTGAAAATCAAAATGATAAAATAATGAGTACTTCTAATGACCGAATAGATTATTTTGTAAATATTCAATACTGTTATTAAGTACAGGAATAATTTTCTTCTATGTTAAATAGCTACAAAACATCTGACTTCTGCAGAACCAAGCAAAAAAAAATTACATTCATGCCAAGAAACAAGAAAAAGATGAAAAACAGTATTGACAACTGAAAATGAGAAACTTCCTACACTTACTACTTACATGAGTGCTCTGTCTCTGTGAAATTAAGATACAATCAGAAAATAATTTATCTCACAAACTAAAAATCAGAAGCCAGTGAAATAGTTCAGCGGTCCAAAGCTTGTGCTTAGGCAAGGTTACGCAGGCTCTGGGAACCACGGTTCAATTCCTGGTACCATATGCTGCTCCAGTCTCACCCTCATGGTGGGCTGTGCTGGTAAAAATATCCAAAACCAAAACCAACCAACCAAACAACCAAACAAACAAAGAAACACCAATCTAGAAATCAAAAACACCAGCCCCAGCGAGCCTATTCTTGCCCTACCAGCCTTATTGAATAACCACTGTGCAAGAGGTTAGAGGTTGCTGAAAGGAAAGAGGGTAAGGGTGGGCTGCTAGCGGCCAGCATTTTGTTTTTGAATTTTAGAAAAATATTTCGGAAATGAGTACATAATATGAGATTAATAACAGAGTGCACATTGTAAAAATTATTTACAAACTCAAATGAATATAACAATAAAATTGTATGAAATAAACATGAAGAAGAAATAATCTACAGATCAGTCATAAAATAATTTTCTCTGTGCCAAATTCAAGAAGCTTATATTCATATAATTAGAATGCTCAAAGTAAAATGAGGTAGGCAATAAATATTTAACGATTTAAAATTGTTGAATTTATTTAAAATCATAGCACCACCTTTCCAAGAAAAATGCACCTTCTGTACACAAGACATATGAATAAAATCATACCAAGATACACAAAAATGAAATTGTCCAAAACTAATTGTGATGAAAAACATCATTAAAGCATATACATAGAAAAAATATTAGCTATGGAAGATTAAATAGCATCTTATACCACAGTAGAAAAAAAAGAGCAAGTGGGTAAGAAACTAGACTTATTTATTCAAAGGACTGAAAAAAAATCTGTTCTCACTGAATTTTATACTTAGTAAACATACTTTGAAAACTAAAGTAAAATATTTTCCAGTTATACAAACAGATGTAGCATATAGAAAGTAACAAAGACCATAATCCAGAAGGCAAGAGAGATTGCTGTATTATCCTGCACAGAGAATAAAGAGCTCTCAAAATAGTAGTTATGCAGGACTATGTAAAATATGATTATATTAGACAAACCCATTTAAAAGGTCTTTGAAGATTTCCACAAAAGAGTATTAATCTTATGTCAGGTTATATACATATTTTTCATATATGTGTTAGTGTGTGTGTGTGTGTGTGTGTGTGTGTGTGTGTGTGTGACTGAACTCAGACCCTTGCACTTGCTAGGGAAGTGCTTATTCCACTGAGCCATCTCCCCTGCCCCGTGTGTACAAAAGACAAAAAGAAAAACTAATATAAAGTCAATGTAAAATGAAAATTTACTTTTTAAAGTTTCTAATACTAGGAGAATATATCATACCATTAATTACAAGTAGATTATAAGTCAAAGAAACAGTATAAATCATAGAACAACAAAGTTAAACAATATTCATAAAATTAAATATTAATTCAAAATTAAACATTTCAACATGATATTCAAAAACTAAAATTAAATTGTGAGTCCATCTAAGCGACAAGAATTCAGAGTATCATATGTAAGAATCTGTGATCAATTCAGAGTACTCACATAGCATTTGATTAAGTTAATATATACAAAAATGTCAACTAAGAAAAAGTTTTTATGATAGTAAAGAATTACTAACAATAAAACATAACAAAAATACTGGAATGGCAAATATAAGACCAGAACTTCTAACAGTATAAGGATAGGATATTACACAAAGTTCTAGTATGCCGTGGATGTGGACAGTGACTATGACGCTTACTGGTAGCCAGCTGTCACTTGGGGTACTAAGCTACTGCTATTTCCTTGATTACCACCCAGTGGACCCACACAAAATCATGACCCATAAGGGTGCAGAAATAGTCCATTTGTAGATTATGCTGATGGAAATATTTTTGCTGCTGTATACAAAAGAGTAATTGAAAGACTGCTGCTGTATACCGCTTTTTCTCCTGTGTTTAATTGTTTGCCCTATTTGGTGGGTTCTTTCCATTCTCATTCATGGAGTTGTAGTCATTTTGATCCCTTCTAGAATATCTTTTAGTAGTCTGTGTAGGGTTGGCTTTATTGTCATGAAATTCTTTAGTTTTTCTTTGTCATGGAGGTTATTTCACTTCTCCATTAAACTTGAAAGGGAGTTTTGCAGGATATATCAGTTTGGGTTGAAATTTGCTTTCTTGCAAGACTTGAAGTACTTTGCTCCATGCTCTTCTTGATTTGATGGTTTGTGAAAAGATATCTGCCATTATTCTGATGGGTTTTCCTTTAAATGTGATCTGTTTCTTTTCTCTAGTGGCTTTCAGTATACTGTTCCTGTGCTGAATTTCTGGAATATTGATTATTATATGTCTGGGTGTGGTTTTAATTGGGTTGATATCATTTGGGTTCTATATGCTTCAGTTACCTAAATGCCAGCTTATTTCTCCATGTTTGGAAAGTTTTCTGCTGTTGCTTCTGCCCATATTCTTTTTATATCATTTGTATTAACTCCTTCTTTCTCCTTGATGCCTATTATTCTTACATTGTTCATCTTTGCATTATCTTGCAGATGTTGAATTATTTTTCCTGAATCCTAGTTTTTTCCTAAGAGATCTTTTCTTACTTTTTCACTAGTTGCAATGATGTCTTCAAGATCTGAAAGTCTATTTTCACTTTCATTGAAATGGTTTTTCCACCTTGTGATTGAGCTTTTTATTTCCTGTATATCACTTTGAATCTGCTTCATGCATTCTATTACTTTCCTATATTGCTCATTCAAAGATTCCATCATTTTTCTATTCTCCTTCATTTTTTGTCAGTGTCTTCTTCTTTTTGTTTTTGGATAAACCAGGGATTGAACTCAGGCCCTTGTGCTTGCCAGGGAAGCACTTATCCTACTGAGCCATCTCCCTGGCCATGTCAGTGTCTTCTGTAGAAGCACTTAGTACTTCTTTCATTATAGTTATCATTTCATTTTTTTTTTTACTTCAGAAGTTATTTCTGATATGATTTACTCTACATCTTTCTGCAATTGTTTCTTTCCTTCCGACGCTATTAATTCAGAAATTTCAGGTGTTGATTTCCAATGTTTATCCCGGTGTCTCCTGAGTTTGTCCTGGGTGGGGTTGAGGTCTTTGAATGCATTTTGCTCTTCTCTTTGTCATTTCATATAACACTCTCTTCTGAGCTTTGGTACATTTATTGCCTACCACCAGCTCTGGACCCACCAAGTTCAAACTCATTCATGTGGGTGTCGCTTGCATCTGGCTTCTGTGCTCCACATCTTCCTGCTAAAGCCTTTGGAAGTGAATCCGCTGTACCACTCTGGCAAGATGTCCCGCTCCTGGATCAGCTGGGTTTGTCTTGCCTCTAGCCTCTGTGCAGGGAGTTCTGCCACAGTGTTCCACACAAGGCCTGTGTGATGGAGGAAGCTCTACTCACATGTCAGGCCTGGGTACTGGCTGGATTGAGGGTCCAGTGGGCCCCAAGTAGTCCCACTTACACTCTGCAATTCACCTGTTTTCAACATAGCCAACAGATACATTTATTTAAGGCAGTTTCAAGATATAAAGATTTGCTTGTAATTTTTATTTCAAAGTTTGATGATTATAACATATATTAAC